ACATTCTTTCTTTTTCTAAATATATATATATATATATATATATATATCAGGCGGGGGATTTGGACTCCACCTCAAATTGGAGCCAAGTGCAGATTCACCGTTAAGAGTATTCTTAGAAACCAGAAAGAATATTCATTTTTTCGTGAAAATATTCATGGATCCTATGGAATATTATAATAGTAAGATCAGAAATTTTAGACTCTAATTTTGTAACAGAAAATGGGTATTTTCTTGCGGGAGGTGGCTTTTAGTTTTTCATTTGTTTTAGGGGAGATGCTTTTCTATTATGTCACTTGTAATTGGATTTAATGCCGGGATCATTACTCATAATGTGGCGAACTGCAATTTCCCCTTGCGAATTGTGAGTGATACCATAATATTTCTGATTGAATGCAACCCCCACTCATTTTCCGACTTCATGTTATATATAGTTACATGAATACCAGCACTTGATGGGAAAAAAAGGGTAAAATTTACCTCAATAACTCTTACCTTAGGTTAAAAATAAAGATAAAAAAATAATAATAATAATAAATAATAATATTAATATTAATATTAATATTAATAGTAATAATAAATTTTACCTAATGTTTCTAACGTTAGGGTCATCAGTTTAGATAAACCGATGATTTTATTTTTTGTATAAAAATAAAAATGAAAATGTTTTTAATTTCAGACAGAAATCATTTTTAAAAATACGTTTAGTAATTTTATTAAGAAATTATTTTTAATATAAAAAAATTCATTAATGTTTCTCTCTCTCTGTGCTCGAGAGAGAAGAAAACAGAAACAAAAAATGAAAAATCTCTCCCATTTTACACTAAACTAAAAAATCGTTTTCATTTTTGATTTTTATCTTTAATGGCGTCAAACGTTATTTCTCTCTCATTTTCATTTTTTCTTTTTCGAAAACCGTGAAAACCAAAAACAAAACCAACTCTAAACAGGATAAACCGAGAAAATCGTTGTATTTCCAGACTACTGACAACGAATGTGAACAAAAAATTCGATCCGTCTTCTTCTTCGCAATACAAGAACGTAGATTACATCATTTCATTTGACCAGCTATTGTAATTACAAAACAAAAACATACTCAGTTCAGGGAAGGAATAATTTAGATTTGTCAGTTCTAGCAGCTTAAGTAATAAACATAAAGACGGCAGGAAAATCTTGTGCTCTGAGTAAAGCCGGTAGCAAAACTTGGCCCATTCAATGGTCTCTCTGCATATAAACCAACATTATCAACATTTGACCAACGTGTGGAACTTGTAGAAAGTAGAATATGAACATTACAGAGACACCAGACAACAGAAGAACAACCATCTAGGAATACAAAACAAGTGATCAGTTGTGGTGTTAGCATCCAATTTTTTTTTTATATATTTTTTATTTTAAAAGAAACTGAGATCTCTCATTAATAGTCAAGAATTATGTACAAGAGATTACAAATGGAAGAGGGAAGAGAATTTCCAATCGATAAAACGTAAGAAAAATAACGAATCCAAAACGCTACCCATAATTTAAATGCGTCCGAATTTTCTCGTTGCTCTTTGTTTTCTAATTCATAAAAGAACTTTGCAAAATTCATTGGAGAATCAACATTCAATGTTCGCTATTAAATTCACAAAAACTGCCTAACATGAACACAAAATCATAAATCATTGACCTTGTTTAAAGTGAAGTTAAGCACGAGTAATTGAAGCAATTAGTTTCACAGGGAGGGTCATTCAGTTGTATAAATTATTATATTCTATAATTTTACCTTGCGCTTCTCAAGTCTTCCCATACCACTGCTACTACCACCAAAGCCTGCCATCTGGACATCATTTTCACCCTCCACGGCCAAAGTTTTGATCTCATCATAGAAACTGTCTGTCAGGCCAAGCAACCTGATGTGCACAAATTAAGAGCAGTCAAATATCAACCAACTTTACATCCCAATAAGTGAAACAGATAAAAGAAGTCCATGGATCCAGTTTTGCTTTTGAACTGTGCATACCCATTTCTTGACTTCTTCAAGTGTTTCTCCTTCTTTTTCTCCTCCTTTGTAAAAGGAGCACGAATAAAGAGCTCCTCTTCACGCTTTGCACGTGCCTCCATCTTTGCCAGATATCTGGTCAGCTCTCTGCTCTCTGTCCCAACAATTTCTCTAACCTGTAATGTGACAGCAAAACACATAAACACCAAGCTCATAATTTGAGCAATCTATACCCAGTAGCGCGTAAAAGCATCATAGAACTAACCTCTTCGGGTCTACCCTCCACGTCATCCATCAGCTCCCTCACATAATCACTCTGCCTAGCTTGTCGTAGAGCATTTTTCTCCTTTCTCATTGCATTTCTTTCTTGCCTCGAGATCTTATCTTCCTCCATCGACGTAGGAGCAAATTTGGGGGGTCGATACACACCATCCTACAGTTTAAGGACACAAGTTTAACATAATCCTACAAAACCATTCTACCAACAAGATTTGGATGATATACTGAAGAACAAATATGTTCACCTTAGTAGTCTCATCTGTTTTGCTAACAAGCATGTTAGGGTTTGGGCGATATTTCAACAAATCTTCAGTTTTCTGAGATGCATCAGGTTCCTTCTCACTCGCATCTGCATTAGTCGTTGCAGTTGCAGTAACCCTTGTGAGCTTCTGGATTTGGTATTGGAGCTTCTTATCGATTGGTCGAATCTGTTCAAAACCAGTGAGTCAGAACTGTGCATCACTGAAAATGCAAGTAATTCAAAACCAGAAGAAACCAAGAGACAATCCAGAAAAAAAAAAAAAAAAACCTTTTCCAAAAATAATCTTATCTCCACGAGACTTCGAACAACAGGGTGCCCCTCGATTGAGAACCCTTTTGCCTTACGAAGCAAGTAGTATACAAGTGACTGGCAATAGTTCAGAAGCAGCAAGTGTTTGACTTCAAGATAGCTCATCCCTTCTGCCGTTGGAAACTGATCTGCTCTTACCTAACATACATCATACACGAAGACGGCCAGAACAACAAGAAAAAATCAACAAAGACAGAAGATTATCCAGAAGAAAAAAAATGGATAAGAAATTGATAACTTTAGGAGTAAATTAATCCATTGCTCAGTTCCCTTTACAATTCCAAAAGTTGCATTTTAGCTCCTTAAATTTAATTTCAACGGAAATATCCATTAGCCCTTAAATTTAAGCCTGTTTATTGATTTAGGAACTAAGATATCAGTTTACCGTTCATAACTTTATTTTCATGCTAATATACACATTATCAACAACAAAGCAAATAAGTCGATAGTCACCAGCATGTTGCAAAAGTAACTGTACAATGAAGCAAGTTTAGTTTTTTTTTAATAAATAAAACAGAATTTACTTATAAGAGATTCAATAGACGAAAAATAAAATTATATACACTGCTAAAAAGGGTAATCCAATTCTAAAAATGATCTGAGTTCTTTCTTACCTTGGCAGTTAAAGCTTGGACTTTGCTCCGCACTGTATCTAATCCATCTTTCATCTCTTTCAACAAAGAAACCAGCTGAGGAGCTTCTCTAAACGATGCAATAATCAAACAAGTTACATCTAAAATAGCTATTTGGACCTAGATTTCTACAGTAATATACTTCAAAAGAAAAAAGAAACAAAAAACAAAAACAAAAACAAAAACTTACTTCTCGATTCTATCGTTATTGGAATTATTATTCTCCTCCATTATGTCAAATACACTAATTTCTCACCAGAGCCAACAAAAACCAATCGAAATTTGGGTGCCTGAAAATATGAAGACGAAAATTGCAGAGACAGTACAACACGGGCATAAGGCGAAAATTGAACTATCTTCGTTGTATATGGGAAATGAAGATAATAGATTACATTCGCGCAATATTTCCCGAATGAAGAGAATTTCGCAGGGGATTTATGCGCGTAATTGCATAATGGCGGCAATTTGAAGAGAGAGAGAGAGAGAGAGAGAGGTTAGAGAGAGAATAACCTGGAAAGAAGAAGCAATAGCCAGAGCAGAGAGACGAAGAGGGGGAGGAAGCGGTGTCGTTGCGGCGGTCGGCGAGACTGAGAAGGGAAAATGGGTTGGGACTGAGGCGGCGGCTTTAATGGCGGCTGCTCATGGTGGGAATATACAGAAATAGGAATTAAGGTTATGATTTATCATTTTTTTCTTTTTTCCTTTTCTTTTACACGTGACGTGATTCACTTTGATGATTTTTTATCGATTTTTTTGGTACCAATATTTTTTCTTTTTGCTTCTGAATTTATTATTTTTTTATATTATTTTTATAAATACCCCTTATACTATTTACTCTATTTTAAAATGCTCTCAAATTTTTTAAAATCGTTCAAAACACTCCTTAAAATATAAAAAATATATCAAATTATCCTTTTCATACATTTTTATCTATAATCTTAACTGACATAGCATTTATTAAATATTAATTAAACAATTAAATTATAATTAAATATATTAAAAATTCAAACAAAATAAAACAAAATATTCTTTCTTCTTTCTTCAACCTGCCATTTCTCAAAATCCCCATTTCTCCCTTATCGAAAACCCAAAACCCTAAACTCCCCTCCATTAAAATCCACCACCCACTCCTTAGTGAGAGGTCCGATCGCCATCCATCCCCACCGTATTTCTCGCTGTAAGATCGGTGTCTCCGTCGACCTCTCTGATGAGAGCACATATGCCCTCCACTGGTCAAAATTTGTTAGTTAATTAGTTTTTTTTTTTTGTTGTAAATTTGTGTTATGTAGCCTTTGCTCGTTGCTTGGTTTCTGAGAAAAATTATTCTAGTAAGAAAATTTTCAGTTAAAAATTTGTTGCTGGACATCATAGATCGAAATTTTGGTGATGGGAATTATCTCTTATAATCTTCACCATGTTGTCTGGTGAATTTGAAAGGGGAATTAGTGGTTAAAAGCTCAAGGTTCTCGATGCACCTTCAACTTTTTCCAGAAAGTTGGTGTTCTTGATTCTAAAGTTGATATTTAATATTTGTTTAAAATAGATTTAAATGATTTATATTTGAATTTTTTATTAATAATTAAAGTTTGTAGGTTAAAATACTATTTATAAACATTTAATGATATCCCACCTAAACAATCTGTTAAGATTATACATAGAAATAGATGAAAGAGGGTATTTAAAACTGTTTTTTATATATCAGAAAGTGTTTTAAATTATTTAAAAAAATTAAAAGACATTTTAAAATAATGTACATAATTTATAAATATTTATAAAAATAACCTTTTTTATGGATGATGATTTATTATTAAGGATTTAGTTTAATTGATTCTAAAAAAAAGGATGTAGTTTAATTAAAAAAATATTTAAGCGAAGTATATATATTTTTTGGAAAAAAAAGAATTTAGCCGGGAAGATTAGATGATAAATTATTTGAAAAGTACACAAGAAAATAATTTATTTTGAGAGGATTTTAGAGAAACAATGTTCAAAGTTAACATGTTTAAAAAAATTATTTTAATGTAGGAATTGAAATATATATATATAATAATAATCTTCTAAAATATATTAAAATATAGGATTATAAAAATAATATTTAAATCTACGCACATTTGGGAATATTATTTATTTGTTAAACAATATTTTGTTAAAGAATTAAAAAATAATAATAATGCACGTTTAGAAATATAAGATTTTAAAAATAAAAAAGGAAAACATGGACCAAAATAATTGAAATTTTTGTTATGATTAAATCTAGGTATTGACAAGCAAAACATATTCGAGAAGAAAATAATTTGGTGAGCAATTTAACTATAACGCACATGTGATAAAATCATAGTTGAAATGATTGCCGTAAGAAAAAAAAAGTTTAAATAGAAATACATTTGAGAAAAGCGATTTAATGAGTGATATAATTAAGAAAATTAACAGTGTAAAAATATTTAGAGGATTATAAAAAATTATTTAAACAATGATGGTTCTTAGAAAAATTATTTCAGACAAATTAGAAAAATGCATTTAAGATAAAATAAAAATAAGATTGAAAATGACATAACATTTTGTTGTCTAAAGTTGATGTGTTCATAATCTATAAAACTGACGCGTCATTTTTCCCGCAATGGCTACATGTTGTTTCGTAGATGATTGTTGCTTTTAACATTACTAGTTTTGTAATGTGCAGACCGCAGGTATTGTTGTGTTAGAGATATTTGAAGAGTTTATTATTTATTAAATAATAAAAATTTTATTTATAAGATTTTTTAATTTTTTTTAAAAAAAATTATGTGTAAAAATAACAATTGACAATAAAAATTAAGTACGGACACATTTGAAGAAAATTATTTTAACCAACTAAAAATAAAAAAAAAAACCCATACGAAAAGAATTACCCTCAGTAATAAATGAGGAACAACGTATTTTTAAAATACACACAAAAAATTAAAATGTAAAAGAAAATTTACAAATAAAATATAAATAAAAAAGTTAAATAGAAGAACTGTGATTGAAAACGAGCATAACTTTTAATCTACAAACCGTTACTGGGCCTATAATATACCAAATCAAATCTCTTTTCGAGCTCCACAATCATGGCAGGGCATAGGCCTCCAACCCAATTTTTCGGGCCAAAATTCACTTGTTTTCATCAGTTTCGAAGGAAAAAAATCAGAGAACTGTGACTAAAAATGACCAAAATCTTTTATCTACAAATCGTTATTGGGCCTATAATATACTAAATCGAAGCACTTTTCAAACTCAACAATCATGGCAGGGCATAGCCCGCCAACCAATTTTTTGGGCCAAAATTCTCTAACTTTCAACAGTTTCGGAGGAAAAAAATCGAAGAACTGTGACTAAAAATGACCATAACTTTTTATCTACAAATCGTTATTGGGACTATAATATACCAAATCGAAGCACTTTTTGAGCTCTACAATCATGGCAGGACATAGGCCGTCAACCCAATTTTTTGGGCCAAAATTCTCTTGTTTTCATTAGTTTCGGAGGAAAAAAATCGAAGAACTGTGACTGAAAACAACCATAACTTTTTATCTACAAATTGTTACTGGGCCAATAATATACAAAATCGAAGCCCCTTTCGAGCTCAACAATCATCGCAGAGCGTAGCTCGCCAACCCAATTTTTCAGGCCAAAATTCACATGTGTTCATCAGTTTGGGAGGAAAAAAATCAGAGAACTGTGACTAAAAACGGCCATAACTTTTTATCTACAAATTGTTACAGGGCCAATAATATACCAAATCGAAGCACTTTCCGAGCTCAACAAACATGCCTAGGCATAGCCCGAGAACGCAATTTTTCGGGCCAAAATTCTCTCGTTTTCATCACTTTCGGAGGAAAAAAATCGGAGACCTATGACTGAAAACGGCCATAACTTTTTATCTGCAAATTGTTACTGGGCCTATAATATACCAAATCGAAGCACTTTTCGAGCTCAACAATCATGGCAGGGCGTAGCCCGCCAACCCAATTTTTTGGGCCAAAATTCACTTGTGTTCATCAGTTTCGGAAGAAAAAAATCGGAGAACTGTAACTGAAAACGGCCATAACTTTTTATCTAGATATCGTTACTGGGCCTATAATATGCCAAATCGAAGCTCTTTTCGAGGTCTACAATCATGGTAGGGCATAGCCCGTAAACCCAATATTTCGGCCCAAACTTCACTTGTTTTCATCAGTTTCGGAGGAAAAAAATCAGAGAAGTGTGAGTGAAAATGGCTATAACTTTTTATCTACAAACCGTTACTGGGCCTATAATATACCAAATCAATGCTCTTTTCGAGCTCTACAATCATGGTAGGGCATAGCCCTCCATCCCAATTTTTCGGGCCAAAATTCACCTGTTTTCATAAGTTTCGAAGGAAAAAAAATCGGAGAACTGTGACTGAAAACGGCCATAACCTTTTATCTACAAATCGTTACTGGGCCTATAATATACCAAATCGAAGCTCTTTTCAAGCTCAACAATCATGGCAGGGCATAGCCCGCCAACCAATTTTTTGGGCCAAACTTCTCTTGTTTTCATCACTTTCGGAGGAAAAAAATCGAACAATTGTGACTAAAAATGACCATAACTTTTTATCTACAAATCGTTACTGGGCCTATAATATATCAAATTGAAGCTCTTTTTGAGTTCTAAAATCATGGCAGGGCATAGGCCGTCAACCCAATTTTTTGGGCCAGAATTCTCTTATTTTCATTAGTTTCGGAGGAAAAAAATCGAAGAACTGTTACTGAAAACGGCCATAACTTTTTATCTACAAATTGTTACTGGGCCTATAATATACAAAAGTGAAGCCCTTTTCGAGCTCAACAATCATTGCAGAGCATAGCTCACCAACCCAATTTTTCAGGCCAAAATTCACTTTTGTTCATCAGTTTTGGAGGAAAAAAATCAAAGAACTGTGACTGAAAATGACCATAACTTTTTATCTACAAATCGTTACAGGGCCTATAGTACACCAAATCGAAGCTTTTTTTGAGCTCCACAATCATGGCAGGGCATAGGCCGTCAACCCAATTTTTTGGGCCAAAATTCTCTTGTTTTCATTAGTTTCGGAGGAAAAAAATCGAAGACCTGTGACTAAAAACGGACATAACTTTTGATCTACAAATTGTTACTGGGCCTATAATATACCAAATCGAAGCACTTTTTGAGCTTAACAATCATCGTAGAGCGTAGCTCGTCAACCCAATTTTTCGGGCCAAAATTCACTTGTGTTCATCAGTTTCGGAGGAAAAAAAATCAGAGAACTGTGACTGAAAACGGCCATAACTTTTTATCTACAAATCGTTACTGGGCCTATAATATACCAAATCGAAGTACTTTTCGAGCTCAACAATCATTGCGGGGGCGTAGCCCACCAACTCATTTTTTCCTGCCAAAATTCACTTGTGTTCATCAGTTTTGAAAGAAAAAAATCAGAGAACTGTGACTGAAAACAGCAATAGCTTTTTATCTAAATATCGTTACTGGGACTATAATTTGACAAATCGAAGCTCTTTTCGAGCTCTACAATCATGGTAGGGCATAGCCCGTCAACCTAATTTTTCGGCCCAAACTTCACTTGTTTTTATCAGTTTCGGAGGAAAAAAATCAGAGAAGTGTGAGTGAAAATGGCTATAACTTTTTATCTATAAACCGTTACTGGGCCTATAATATACCAAATCAATGCACTTTTCGAGCTCTACTATCATGGTAGGGCATAGCCCTCCAACCCAATTTTTCAGACAAAAATTCACTTATTTTCATCAGTTTCGAAGGAAAAAAATCGGAGAACTGTGACTGAAAACGACCATAACCTTTTATCTACAAATCGTTACTGGGCCTATAATATACCAAATCGAAGCACTTTTCAAACTCAACAATCATGGCAGGGCATAGCCCGCCAACCAATTTTTGGGGCCAAAATTCTCTTGTTTTCAGCAGTTTCGGAGGAAAAAAATCAAACAACTGTGACTGAAAATGACCATAATTTTTTATCTACAAATCGTTACTGGGCCTATAATATAACAAATCGAAGCTTTTTTTGAGCTCTACAATCATGGCAGGGCATGGGCCGTTAACCCAATTTTTTGGGCCAAAATTCTCTTGTTTTCATTAGTTTCGGAGGAAGAAAATTGAAGAACTGTGACTGAAAACGGCAATAATTTTTTATCTACAAATTGTTACTGGGCCTATAATATACAAAATCGAAGCTCTTTTCGAGCTCAACAATCATCGTAGAGCGTAGCTCGCCAACCCAATTTTTTGGATCAAAATTCACTTGTGTTCATCAGTTTCGGAGTAAAAAAATCAGAGAAATGTGACTGAAAACGGCCATAACTTTTTATCTACAAATTGTTACTGGGCCTATAATATACCAAATCGAAGCTCTTTCCGAGCTCAACAATCATGGGAGGGCGTAGCCCGTGAATCCAATTTTTCAGGCCAAAATTCACTTGTTATCATCAGTTTCAGAGGAAAAAATCAGAGAACTGTGACTGAGAACGCCCATAACTTTTTATCTATAAATCGTTACTGGGCCTATAATATACCAAATCGAAGCACTTTTCGAGCTCAACAATCATGGCAGGGCGTAGCCCACCAACCTAGTTTTTTGGACCAAAATTCACTTGTGTTCATCAGTTTCGGATGAAAAAAATTAGAGAACTGTGACTGAAAACGGCCATAACTTTTTATCTAGATATCGTTACTGGGCCTATAATATGCCAAATTGAAGCTCTTTTCGAGCTGTACAATCATGATAGGGCATAGCCCGTGAACCCAATTTTTCGGGCCAAACTTCACTTGTTTTCATCAGTTTCGGAGGAAAAAAATCGGAGAAGTGTGAGTGAAAACGGCTATAACTTTTTATCTACAAACCGTTACTGGGCCTATAATATACCAAATCAATTCTCTTTTCCAGCTCTACAATCATGGTAGGGCATAGCCCTCCAACCCAATTTTTCGGGCCAAAATTCACTTGTTTTCATCAGTTTCGAAAGAAAAAAAATCAGAGAACTGTGATTGAAAACGACCATAACCTTTTATCTACAAATCCTTATTGGTCCTATAATATACAAAATCGAAGCTCTTTTCAAACTCAACAATCATGGCAGGGCATCGCCCGCTAACCAATTTTTTGGGCCAAAATTCTCTTATTTTCATCACTTTTAGAGGAAAAAAATCGAACAACTGTGACGGAAAATGACCATAAATTTTTATCTACAAATCGTTACTGGGCCTATAATATACCAAATTGAAGCTCTTTTTGAGTTCTAAAATCATGGTAGGGCATAGGCCGTCAACCCAATTTTTTGGGCCAGAATTCTCTTATTTTCATTAATTTCAGAAAAAAAAATTGAAGAACTGTGACTGAAAACGGTCATAATTTTTTATTTACAAATTGTTACTGGGCATTTGGGTGACGTGTCGTTGATCGATCGGGTTCAGTCACGTTCGCCGTTGACTCTGCAGCAAAGACAAATCTCGCGCACATTTCCCCAAGCCTTTCCCAGTGAAGAGACCTCACCTATTCTTTCCGTATCCCGCCGCACCCTATCCCAGCCCCTATCCCGCACCCTCCGGTCACCCATCAAAAGTAACAGTCCTCTCTCATTCCATTCTCTTTCTCTCTCTCTCCTCCCTCTCTCCTCCCTCTCTCTTCCCTCCTCTCTCTCTCTCTCTCTCTCTTCTGTGATCACCCTGCGCCTCGCGGATCGGATCTGTGCCTCGTTTGTTCGCACGCCAAAAAACGAGCTCCGATCGCTACGCCGTCCAAGACTCGGAAATTCGGAGCAAAGGTTATCGTTTTCTAGGGCTTTATTCCCGCGCTTTTTCTCTCTCTGTTCCCCCTTCTCTCTCTATTGGCAAGAACATGAAGTTATGTGCGTCGTGTTTGGCTCCTCGGAATTCCGTAATCTGATCCGACTGCGCGCTTTCTCGGAGACTGTCTCACTCTCCGACCGTCCAAAATGGCGGCTTCTCCCGTCAAGTTTCTCTTCGGGTTCTTGCTCATTTCCATTGTATTGTGGCTCCTCTTCATGTAAGTCATCTTTCTATATGCATGTTGATGGTTACAGGATCTACACACGTATTCACATTTAAATTTTTAATTTAAGTTGAGATGTGATATTTTTTAAAAATTTTTTTTTGTAGCGATATAATATTTTTTAAGAGTTTTTTATTGTAAAAATTTAAAATTAAAAACTCGAATCACTAAAATGAACGAGAACAATGAACGAGAACGAGGCAATAACGTGTATTATATATTCCTGCCATAATTTGATAGGACATTGGTGGTTCGCTCATTTTGGGCTAAAATTTTCGGTGCTCAATTCAACTCCGCGGAATTTCTCTTGTTTATTTCTTCTCTTCTGGGACCATGATTTTCTGTCATATATTCTATATCCTTAATTATTGTTTTCGACAACCTTGTAATTAGGCCATTCAAGTTTCTATTAACATAATGGAGTTTCCATAGGTTTTTAGAAACTGGGTAATTGGTATGCTCCATTCGGTAAGCTCTCCAGTCCTATAGGGAATTTGTGTTGACCCATATGGGTAACTGATATGAATTAGATTTTATTTTATTTTTTTGCCTGAATTAGATTGATTTCACATGCCTGCTCATTTTGTGTGCTGTAAATAGCTTGTTGGGCTTAAGATAGTTGAGTTTACTTGTCATTTTTTATCATGTCCATGGGCTTGGCTTTATGTATAGAGAAAGTAAATAGTTGAGTTTACCTTCATTTGCTTATTGGGGGAAAAAAGAAAGATTTGATTCAAGTTCTTGGGTTAAGGAACCTTATTTACACTTATTATAACTGAAAAAAACAGAGACTTGATTCAAGTTGTTGGACCTGATTGAGAGAAATATTTTAAAGTGTGACTGCTGTTTTTAAGCTATTTTTGGAATGCTACTATTATAACTCATTCAGTTCTTGGGGTCTTCTACACGTTCTGTTGTATATAACTTTGTATCTTTGGTTGCTTACTTTCATCTTGCCTGATAAAATGCTGTAAAATTTGGTTATAGGTGTGGTGTTGCAGTGCAGGCCGTTGAATTTTATATTTGAAAAGTGATTATGATTTGAAATTTAATTACTTTTCATGCTCCAAAACTTTCCAAAACCATGCAGTTATAGCATATGCAAACCACCCTATATTGAAAACGTTGCTTAGGCGGGATGAGCTGTCTGATTTATCATGCTGTTGCATGATCCTGGGATGTAAATTTATAAGCATGTTTTGTCTCGCAAGTTGTGTGTCGAAAAGAAGAAGTATAGCCAAAAGTAATTTCCTTTAATATCTTTTTAAAGGTGGATACCAGTATGAGGAAGTAGAACAGGAAAAATCCTGAAAAGGTAGATTCTAAAAGGACTATCATTGTATCCAAATCAAACCATTCTAATAGTCTGTACCATTGATATCAATTTCCCAATGTTGTTTATTATCGTATTTTTCACTAAACAATGCTTCAGGTGTACTTTTTATTCTTTCACCTCCTTTTCTCTCTTGTATCATTGGAACTTGAAGAGGGCAGTTTCAAAGTGCTTCTTTACCATGTTTTACAGATTCACATCAAGGTTGCTAGCTTGGATTTTGAGCCGGATAGTGGGAGCATCTGTTAGATTTAGGGTTGGTGGATGGAAATGTCTGAAGGACGTCGTGGTGACATTCAAAAAGGTTTTTCTCACACTTTAATGTCTGGTTTTTTGTTGTTGTATGGATTTGGCTCAGCAATAAGGGTTTACATTTTTTCTGGTTTCATGTTTACATCTCAATGATTGTTTAGATTAAGTAATAACAACAACGAGTATTTTATTGAAAGATCAACTTTCCTCTAGACTCTAGTCAAATGCCCTCAGAAATTATATTTCTCTTAATTTTGGGGATTTAGTGTATTTTAGTACTCCCCTGATAAAGTGTCAAGTAAGTCTACAGGAGAATACGCCTTTGGTTTGGGTTTCAACTTTCGCCCCCTTGGGATTCTCTATAAAAGTATCTATGGTGTACAGGCTAAGAGATTTAGGCCATGTTTGGAATTGATCCCGTTTTTGTTTTTCACGTTTTTCGAGAAAGAAAAAATTAACGTTTCCAAAACGGAGTTTGGCGCAATAAAGACAAAAAACGGAAATGAAAATGATTTTTTGGTTTAGTGTAAAATGAAAGAGAAATGAAAAATGACTTTTAGTCGTTTTTCATTTTTTGTTTTTGTTTTCTCCTCTCTCGAGCAGAGAGAGAAAGAGAGACATTAATGGGTTTTTTTACACTGAAAACAATCTCTTGATAAAACTACGAAACGCATTTTCAAAAATGATTTCTGTCTGAGATTGAAAACGTTTTCATTTTCATTTCCATACAAAAAACCAAAATCATTTTGGAACGAGTTCCAAACTCGCCCTTAGTTTTTCAGTTAGCAATAGATCTTTGATGAATGCCTTTATGGAAATGGATCAGGCTGCATTCCTTTTCTTTTGTTTCTTAGACTAAATTTCATTGTTCCATATGATTGGATTCAGTTTTGATTATTGTTATTGCGACTCTAAATCCACAGGGTGCTGTTGAATCTGTATCTGTTGGTGAAATTAAACTTAGCTTACGACAGTCCTTGGTCAAACTTGGGGTCGGTTTTATTTCCAGAGACCCGAAGCTGCAAGTGTTAATATGTGACTTAGAAGTTGTAATGAGGCCTTCCACTAAAAGTACATCGAAGGCTAAAGCTAAAAAGGCACGCGCTTCTGGCAGGGGAAAATGGATGGTTGTAGCCAACATTGCACGATACTTATCAGTTTCTGTGACAGATCTTGTTTTGAAGGTATACATTGCCAGAAATAAGTGATACCATCAAATTTAGGAGGGCTACTAAAGACGTCCTAAGTGTCAAGTGTTATACTTTAATGCATGTGTTTTTGTCTACTTGTTTTATAGTTAATTTCATAATTTATTATTCTATCGTGTTTGCACAGAAAAATGCTTTCAAGGATTTTGTAGTATCTTTTTTGCAATAGAATCTCTGAAAGCCAATAATCATGGCTGTCTCGCTCTTAAGGGACAAACCCAACCAGTCAAACCTTGATTTTATATATGTTAGCAAGAGTAAAAACATGTGATACTTGCTCTTTTCCAATGAGTATTGATAAATATTCTCAAATACTAACTTGTCAGGATCTCAGTTTTTTTTTGGGCTGTTTATTTTGCTGTTGTATCTTTGGTAAAAAGACATTCGTTTTTGTTAAAAAATCTGTACCTTTTAAGGATCTCGTATTTTTTGTTTTTCGTTTTGGTTTATTTTTTTGCTTTCAACTTCTTTTGCGGGCTTGGACAGAAAGCTTTTACGGACTTTCTTTGGAGGGATGTTATAGGGGGTTAATGGTTATGTTTTGTGATCTGCTTTTAGCCTCTTCTCTCTTCTTCTTCTTCTTCTCTTCTCTCTCTCTCTCCCTCTCTCCCTCTCTCTTCTTATTTATTCATTCTGAGTATTCCTTATCCTCTTTCCTTCGTATTTTATTCTATTATTAGTAAAAGGAAGTTTTCTTTATATGCATCTTTCATTGAAAAGATTTTCTTTTGGTCATAACACTTGTCTTTTGAACTTGCAGACGCCCAAAGCTACTGTTGAAGTTAAGGAACTGAAAGTGGATATATCTAAAAATTTTGGATCTCAGCAAAATTTGTTGGTTAAGCTACATATATTACCTATTGTTGTTCACATGGGTGAACAGCGTGTTAGTATTGATCAATCATCCAATTTCAGCTCTGGAGGGTGCCTTTCTGCTGGTCAGTCATCTTGCGCCATAATGGAGAGATCATCTGCTAATTTTTTCTGTGAAGAGTTTTCCCTCTGTTGTGTATTTGGCCATGATAGGTACTTTCGAAGTGCTCTGATTTAAGCTTTTCTATAGATACAAATCTAATTTAAGTTAAACCAAAAAAAAAAAAAAAAAAAAACTAATGTTTGAGAGGAATATACATTTTATTGCTATGTGGCTTATGCAGCCTCTTATGGGTGGCCCTTCAAAATCTTAAATTTCCTGTTAGAAAATTACTTTTTTTTAACCTGACCCTAAAAAATTGGTTAATATCTTTTTTATTCACTTCATTTGGACGTAGGGAAGTTGGTGTAGTTATCAAGAATGTGGACGTTACCAGTGGAGAGGTCACTGTGAACCTAAATGAGGAGATGCTTTCAAAAAGCAAGAGTTCATTACAATCCTCTTCTCAATCTGATAAAGTTATGGAAACGACAGTTGCTTCGTTGGACTCAAGAAAGGAAAACAAAAAACAAAGCGTTGTTGTTGCTCTTTCAAAGTATGCTTCTCTATTTCCCGAAAAGGTTTGTGAAGATTTTTACTCGTTTTTCTTTCCTATTTTCCTTTCCTTTATTTGAAAACTTTTTCTTCGAAAAAGATGCATTAACATAGACTTAGGGGGTTCAAACAGAAGACTTATAGAAGATTGAAAGAGATTATTTGAACATCTCGTTTTGTTAGCAATAGCACAATGCTATCATCTTCTTAGATTCTGAAAGCAAATTTGTCTTTCTACTATTAGCATGTAAGAAGCATATTTTCTAGTTCCTGTTTATTATAGTGACACTTTTTTAATTTTCTGCTTTCACAATTTTTTGCTAAAGAGAACATTTTCAGCTGTCTTTAACTGGAGTTGAAACGAGTCTGAATAATTGTGAACTAAGCAATGCTTCAATGCTTCCCAGAAAAAAAAAAAAAAAACAAAGAGAGAAAGAGAGAGCAAGTGAGCTATATTCAGTGCTGACACTCGAATTTATGTGTTTCTGGCAGTTTTGCTTCAATTTACCGAAGCTGGATGTGAAATTTGTACATCTTGAATATGATTTGGTTGTCGAGAATAACATCATGGGAATTCAGTTGAAGAGCACCAAATCACAAGCCAATGAAGACGTTGGGGAGAGTACACGCCTAGATGTTCAATTGGATTTTAGTGAGATTCATGTATGGCTGATCTGTTGGTGTTATTTAAGCTCTTTAATGCTGTAACGTTGCAATGAACACGTTCAACTTGGCCTCTTCTTGACAATAGTTTTTCCATGACATTTCAGCTTCTTAGAGAAGCTGGCACTTCTGTCCTAGAGATACTAAAAGTGGATGTCGTCTCACTTGTCTACATTCCGATACAGGTAAGTATAATATGCACCATAATGACCCTGTCAACTTGATAGTCTTTGCTTTTAATGCATGTTTAAATGTCTCATAGTTGAGGTAACTTCTTGATGTTATCCAAAGCATTGAGCATGTGACTTTGACAATAGTTTTGAGCAATTGTTGGAGATTTTTTCAAATTTTACACAAATAGGTTAGCATTGCTTACTTCCCACGGAAGTCTGTAATCTTACACAAGTACAAAAATCAGTGCGAATCAAAGTTTATGTTCAATTGTGGTAAGGAACTTGAGATAGAAGCCTCATGATAGGACAGATGACGGTCCATCAGTACCATTGTCTGATTTTGTAAGAATCTCCAAATATTAGTGTTTTTTCATATTATCTTGTATTCGTTCATAGTGTTTTGAGATATTGAGTAGATATGGAATTTATTAATTGGTTGTTATTTTATTGACAACTCGTGGATGTCTTTACTTGTCAGCCATCTTCACCTATTAGAGCTGAAGTTGATGTAAAACTGGGAGGTACTCAATGCAACCTCATAATAAGTAGGTTAAAGCCATGGTTGCGCTTCCATTTCTCTAAAAAGAAGAGGATGGTGCTTCGGGATGAAGTTTCTGCTACTGAAAAGGCACCAGTTAGTGACGTCAAACCTATCATGTGGACGTGTACTCTTTCAGCCCCTGAGATGACTATTATACTCTATAGTCTCAACGGTTTGCCATTATATCATGTAAGCATTGCAATTAATAGATTGGCAAGTTGTTTTATTTATGTGTGTGTGCATGAATAAACATATATATTTATACACACACACTTGTATATATATGTATAATAGTATAAGGTAAAGAAAGTACAGTGAGAGGGATAAAAAGACAATGTGTCCCTCAAAAGGAAAGAGAGACATTATAAAAGATCCCTCCAAGTGCCAATTCAAGTAGAGTAAGAAAGATAATCCCTTGAATTCTGTAGCTTCTAATTACAGGGTTCGTAACTTCTGTCATTAATTATTTGAATCCTTAATTGTATATTCCAGAATATTGTTTTATATCGTGGATTACCTAGTGTTTAGCTGTTTTAAACCTGTTAATTTGCCTATATGTAGTAGTTAGCAGGCCTTTATCTTTATTACCTTGATTCCTTATGTGTCTTTCATCTGTTATATTTTCTCTATTTCCAGTCCTTCAACCTTTAATTCATTTTATAATAGTGATTGACTTCCCTTTCCCTTTCAGATATGTTTTGATTTTACATGTTGACTTATGATTTTCCAAATACAGGGCTGCTCTCAATCGTCACACGTGTTTGCAAACAATATTTCTAATACTGGAACTGCTGTACACATGGAACTTGGTGAGTTCAATCTGCACATGGCAGATGAATACCAAGAATGCTTGAAAGAAAACCTTTTTGGCGTGGAATCAAATTCAGGTTCCTTAGTGCACATAGCAAAGATTAGTTTGGATTGGGGAAAAAAGGATATGGAATCATCTGAAGAAGATGGTACTAGGTGTAAATTGGCTCTATCTGTTGATGTAACTGGTATGGGTGTTTATTTCACTTTCAAGCGTGTTGAGTCACTTATATCAACGGCTATGTCTTTTCAAGCTCTTCTAAAAACTTTGTCTGCTTCTGGGAAAAAAACATCCCACGGGCGTGGAGGACGTTCATCCAGATCGTCTGGGAAAGGGACTCGACTTTTGAAATTTACTCTCGAAAGATGTTCAGTAAATTTCTATGGTGATTCAGGTCTGGAAAATACGGCTGTTGCAGACCCCAAGCGTGTAAATTATGGATCGCAGGGTGGTCGAGTTACCGTAAGTGTATCAGCAGATGGCACACCTCGATGTGCAGATGTGATGTCCACAATTTCTGATGAATGCAAGAAGTTGAAGTATTCAATTTCTCTTGACATCTTTCATTTTAGTTTGTGCGTGAACAAGGAAAAACAGCCAACACAGGTGGAACTTGAAAGAGCCAGATCAATCTATCAGGAATATTTGGACGAACAAAAACTGGAAACTAAAGTGACGTTGTTTGACATACAAAATGCTAAATTTGTGCGACGTTCTGGTGGTCTTAAGGAGATTTCTGTCTGCTCTCTTTTCAGTGCAACTGATATTACAGTTAGGTGGGAGCCTGATGTACATCTGACACTGTTTGAACTGGGTTTACAGCTGAAGTTACTGGTACACAATCAGAAGCTTCAGAGACATGATAATGATTGTATGGAAGATGTTTGGAGTATGCGAGATGCTGAAGAGAAGAAAGATGCCAGCACTGAGCCAGGAACTTTTGATAAGCACAAGAAAAAGGAATCCATTTTTGCTGTTGATGTGGAACTGCTGAGCATATGTGCTGAGGTTGGAGACGGGGTTGAGGCATTGGTTCGGGTTCAGTCAATTTTCTCTGAAAATGCCCGTATAGGAGTACTTCTTGAAGGACTTATGCTTAGTTTTAATGGTTCCAGAGTATTAAAAAGTAGTCGCATGCAAATTTCACGTATCCCTAGCGTCTCAACAGGTTCATCTGATGTGAAAGTGCCTGCAACTACCACTTGGGATTGGGTAATTCAAGGTCATGATGTTCATATTTGCATGCCATATAGATTGCAATTGCGTGCCATTGATGATTCTATTGAGGATATGCTGCGAGGTCTTAAACTAATTACTGCTGCTAAAACTAATCTTATTTTCCCGATAAAGAAAGATAACTCAAAAGCTAAGAAGCCTAGTTCAATGAAAGTTGGCTGTGTAAAGTTTTGTATACGCAAGCTAACTGCTGATATTGAGGAGGAACCCATGCAGGGTTGGCTTGATGAACACTATCAGTTGATGAAGAATGAGGCTTGTGAGTTAGCTGTGAGATTAAAATTTCTTGAAGAATTTACTTCCAAGCTCAATCCTAAAGCTGCTGAAACAAATGATTCTAGTCAAGAAAGAAAGATTTGCTTTAATGGAATTGAGATTGATGTACGTGATCCTTCAGCTGTTAGCAAATTGCAGGAAGAGATTTATAAACAATCATTTCGATCATATTACAAGGCATGTCAGAATCTATTACCTGCAGAAGGTTCAGGTGCTTGCTTGAGAGGGTTCCAGGCTGGTTTTAAGCCTAGCGCTGCTAGAACTTCTCTTCTTTCCATCACTGCCACAGATTTAGATTTGAGCTTGACAAGGATTGATGGGGGGGATGATGGCATGATAGAGGTTTTAAAGAAGCTAGATCCTGTATGTCGTGAAAACAACATACCATTTTCTCGACTATATGGGAGGAATATTAACTTACATACAAGCGTTCTTGTTGTTCAGCTACGCAATTATAATATTCCTCTCTTTTCTGCTACTTCCGGTAAATGTGAAGGTCGCGTTGTGCTAGCACAACAGGTAGGATTCATCTCTTTTTTGTGTTGGACTTCCTTGTTTGGCTGACCAGGGTAGTAGAAAAACATAAAACACTTGAGAAATTGCAACTTGTATTATTTGATATTAAAATTGTGGACATGCCTACAACCGTACAGTTTAGGATGTTTAGAACCCTAATCAAACTCCTTAACCAGATAATAACAGAAAAACGAAGAGTTCTATTCTAATAAACACACTAAAATAAAACAAGAATTAAATTAAAATACAAGTCCCAACAGGACGTGCAGATAAATAATGTACCATAAAATTGTTCAATCTGATAAATGGTTTTAGCTAACAGGATCTGACTTTTGTTCATACATAAAATTGTTCAATCTGATTAAGGGTCGGTCTTAACTAGATCTGACTTTTGTTCAGATGTCTTTATGTTTGGAAAGTTTCCCTTTAGACATAAATCTTCGATAACAAGTATTTTTTTTTTGGCTTGATATATATATGTGTGTGTTTGTATTATTAGAACGCTGTCTCCGGCATAAGGTGTCTACTAATAATTATTAGACCGGAATTATTTAAAGTGATAACAAGTGGAGATATTCTTTATGAAGTTACCATGTTGCTTTTGAGAAATACGGTTTCTAAAATACCACAGTTCTCAAATTTATCGTTGAGAAATAAATTCTGCTGACTACGCACCTACTAATGCCTGGTAACGTGCTTAATGGTTTATGTTTTTGCTGATTATAATAATTGTTTTATTTATTGTTCTTTTCATAAAACGTGCTTGAGTTTTTAAGGTTTCTAATCTTTGTTTTTAGTTTTTTCTTATGTTTTTCAGCTTTCCCATTTCTCTTTCTTTTCACCGGACCTCTCGTCCTCTTTCTTTGGAAATTGATTTAATTATCAATAGAAGGAAGTTTTGTGTGTGTGTGAAACATCCTTATATTGATGGGCTTTATTGAATTTATTTCCGGACACATAAAACTTCTTTAACTGTGGTGTGTGTTTGTGACTGTTGTTCTTCGAGTTAGGCCACATGTTTTCAGCCACAAATTTACCAAGATGTCTACATTGGGAGATGGCGAAAAGTGCGCATGCTTCGTTCTGCTAGCGGTACAACACCACCAATGAAGACATATTCAGATTTGCCTATTTATTTTCATAAAGCTGAAGTTTCCTTCGGAGTGGGATATGAACCAGCTTTTGCTGATATTAGCTACACTTTTACAGTGGCTCTTCGCAGAGCTAATTTAAGTGTTAGAGATCAGTCACTTGCTAATTCTTCTCTCCCACAAACACTGCCACCAAAAAAGGAACGGAGTTTACCTTGGTGGGATGATGTAAGAAATTACATCCATGGAAATATCACCTTATTTTTCTCTGAAACCAGATGGAGTATTCTTGCAACTGTTGATCCTTATGAGAAATTTGACAAACTCCAAATAATCTCTCGTTATATGGAGATTCAGCAGTCAGATGGTCGTGTTTTTGTTTCTGCAAAGGATTTTAAGATTTTATTAAGCAGTTTAGAGAGTTTGGCAAGCAGTCGTGGTGTAAAACTTCGTAGAGGTGTATCTGGTGCATTCATTGAAGCCCCAGCCTTCACTCTTGAAGTTACAATGGATTGGGAATGTGAATCTGGCACTCCCCTGAATCATTATTTACATGCACTTCCAGTTGAAGGTGAACCTCATCAAAAGATTTTTGATCCCTTCCGATCTACTTCGCTGTCCCTTCGCTGGAACTTTTCTCTTAGACCTCCTTCCTGTGAAAAGCAATCCCCTTCTACCATGAGAGATGCTGCTGATGTAGATGGAACGGTCTTTGGCCCTCCTGTTAAACTTGAGAGCAATTCAGTTGTTTTGCCGACAGTGAATGTTGGTGCACATGATTTAGCATGGATAATGAAGTTCTGGAATATGAATTATATTCCTCCTCACAAACTGCGGTCCTTCTCTCGTTGGCCTCGTTTTGGAGTTCCAAGAGCCCCAAGATCAGGTAACTTGTCATTAGACAAAGTAATGACAGAGTTTATGCTCCGTATTGATGCTACTCCTACTTGTATAAAGCACATGCCATTGGACGATGATGATCCTGCCAAAGGATTGATGTTCAATATGACAAAGCTGAAATATGAACTCTGTTATAGTCGAGGCAAGCAAAAGTATACTTTTGAATGCAAGCGTGACCCCCTTGATCTTGTTTACCAGGGTCTTGACCTTCACATGCCTAAAGCAGTTTTAAATAACAATGAAAGTACTAGTATTGCAAAGGTAGTGCAAGTGACAAGGAAAAATTCACAATCTGCTTCCAGCGAGAGAGTTGCTAGTGAAAAAGGTAACCACACGAATAGTTGCACAGAGAAACATCGTGATGATGAATTTTTGTTGTCATCCGATTATTTCACAATCAGAAGGCAGGCTCCTAAGGCTGACCCTGCTAGGTTGTTAGCTTGGCAAGAAGCTGGAAGAAAAAATCTTGAGATGACATACGTGAGGTCTGAGTTTGAAAATGGGAGCGAGAGTGATGAACATACAAGATCTGATCCAAGTGATGATGATGGATACAATGTGGTAATAGCTGACAATTGCCAACGTATTTTTGTTTATGGTCTCAAGCTTTTGTGGACTATTGAGAACAGGGATGCTGTATGGTCCTGGGTTGGTGGCATATCGAAAGCATTTGAACCTCCAAAGCCTTCTCCATCTCGACAGTATGCCCAAAGAAAATTGCTCGAGGAGAACCAACTACATGAAGGAGCTGATTCGCAGCAAGGTGGTATCTCAAAGCTCCCTACTACCAGCCATAGTACAAATGCTTCTACCCAACATACAGAGGCGTCCATACCAGTTTCATCTCCATCCCATTCAGTTAAAGTAGAGAACTCATTTTCTGCTGATAAAATGGATAACTCATCATTCATCTCTGTTGGTATTCTTCGATCCCCTTGGAGTTCTACTTTTACAATGTTAATTTAAGAACTGCTGGTTTTTTGACCATTAGAGAATCAGAGTTCTGGTGTCTATATTTATTCTTTTTTCTGCTATATGAATGATCAGTGTCAGACACTTAGGGTGGTATTCTATCACCTGACCATAAATTGAGCCTTCTGCGCAATGATCCATCTATTCTGCTGAGGGGTTTCTTATTTTTTATTTTAATTTTTTTGCAGTTAAAGATGTAAAGTTAAATGACTCTGAGGAAGAGGGGACTCGTCATTTCATGGTGAATGTTATTGAGCCACAATTTAATCTTAACTCAGAAGAAGCCAATGTAAGTTCTAACTTTTAGAAGTCGCCAAGTCGGAATTATGATTTCCCTTACCCTTGTAATTTCGTATGATGGAGGAATATTATTTTGCTATCCTTTTCTTGTACTCCTTTTTTTTTTTTTTTTGACAATAGCGAACCGTATAGTAGAAAATAATATCTTGCCAAGATCTGGTTGCGTTGACTTTTCAATATCCAGCGTAAATGACAAGATCTTGTGTAGTAAAGACAGGTTATATATATATATATATATATATTTATATGGTTGTGGTTTTAATGTTTACTCTAATATTACCCGTCATGGGTATTATTATTTTAGTCATAAGATATTGATCCGACAGTTGTAATAAATTGGATAGTTGACCAAAAAAAATTATGACAATTGATGAGATTGGATTCTTATCACGCCATGTCCTCGAATTTCTATATTTAGTAGTAACCATTGATGGAAATGTTACCATTGAAAACTTGTCATATTTATATACATTTAAAAAAGACAGGTGCGAGCTAACATGAATTGTGAGTGTGCGTGTGTGCTTTCATTTATTGGCTGGGAGTTGCAAACACTTAGAATTTTTTTGCACATGCCAAACAGGGTAGATTTCTGCTTGCTGCTGTCAGTGGCCGTGTTTTAGCACGATCATTTCATTCAATCCTTCATGTTGGTTTTGAGATGATTGAGCAAGCGCTTGGTGGTGGAGATGTCCATATTCCCGAGTGTGAACCTGAAATGACATGGAAATGCATGGAGTTCTCCGTGATGTTGGAGCATGTTCAGGCTCATGTGGCTCCTACAGATGTTGATCCAGGGGCTGGATTGCAGTGGCTTCCCAAAATTTTTAGAAATTCCCCCAAAGTAAAACGTACTGGTGCTCTTCTTGAGAGAGTCTTTATGCCCTGTGATATGTATTTTCGGTACACAAGGCACAAAGGTGGGACTCCAGAACTAAAGGTAATGAGATATTTTCCTTTGTGTGTGTTGTTGGATAACATCGACTTTCACTATGATATGTGCAACACTTTTATCTGACTTTCCTTTCCTTTCTATCTTTCTTCTACAGGTGAAGCCCCTGAAAGAGCTCATTTTTAATTCTCATAATATCACAGCAACAATGACTTCTCGTCAGTTTCAAGTTATGCTGGATGTCTTGACAAATCTTCTTTTTGCTCGTCTTCCCAAGTAAGGATGAGAACCGCTTTAGGTCTCCTTTGATTTACATTCTGCAGGATCTGCTCTATTATACTTGTTTGAAGTTTATATGCTCACGGTGGCTCATTCTATGGGTTTTCTTTATATATTAGTTCGACTTTGGCTTGAAGTCATAAGATTGGATGAGGTTTGCCTTAAAATCATATATTCCTTTCCAATATGTGGTACAGAAATGGCTGTATGTCTTTGTAACTTTGCCGAGTAAAATTATATGATCAATCTTTTTCCCTAGTCATTGTAGAACAGGAAACCTTTTAAAATTATCAGTTAATTTTTGCTCTTGTGAGCAAAACATAGTGTTTTAAGGTTCGCTGTTAGAAAAGGAGTATTAGTTATCCTGGTGTCAATTAGAGAATATATTCACGAGGTTGATATTTTCATACTCTTAACATTTAAAAACTATTCTTGTCTCGTTTTTCTAACAGCTTGAGCGTTAAGGACAAGATATAGCTTAATTTGTACAACAAGGAATGCTTGAATGCTTAACCAGTCTATTCCAAATCTGTCGTGAATATCAATCCAATTGTTGCTGTGTAGTCAAATTAAATCTTGAACTCGGGCTTTAAAAGTTTATGAGACATGTGATGTGATTGTTTTTAACTCTTCAAATTATTATGTATTTAGGCCTCGTAAAAGTAGTCTCTCGTTTCCTGCTGTTTCTGCTGAAGATGATGAGGATGTTGAGGAGGAGGCAGATGAGGTTGTTCCTGATGGTGTTGAAGAGGTGGAGCTTGCAAAAATTAGCCTTGAGCAGAAAGAGCGGGAGCACAAGCTGATTTTTAATGACCTTAGAAAATTGTCTTTTCGGTGTGACATTTTTGGAGACTTAAACCCTGAAAAGGAGGGAGAACTCTGGATGATTTCTGGTTCAAGACCTATGCTGGTGAGAAATGTATCTTTTAGAAAATGTATATATTAGAAGGTTCTTTTTTTTTTTTTTTTTTTTTTGAAATAGGGGCAATATATTAGAAGGTTCATTGTAGCGTGTGGTTTTGATTACTCATAGTTGTAGCTTTTTTCTTAACTGAAGAGAAAACATTCCTGTAACACAAAGTTACACAAATGAAAAAAATGGTAAATTCAGATAGTAGTTCCGTACCAAAAGTGTCATTATGGGGTTGGACAATGGTATGTTTCTTTTTTTATTCTTCTTTTACGTCTTCTCATTATCATGCCATTTCTTTTCTCTCTTCTTTTTCTTACTTTATACTTGAGATTAGGTACTTCAATATTGTAATATTGAAGTATATGCTTACTTAGTACAAGTGAGCAATTTTCCTCCGTCTTTAGTGCTCATGTTTACACAGTATTGTCCTATCTATCTGTACGTCTCTTCTGTTTGTTCATGTGGTTGTGGGGTCTCTAAGCACGTAATTTTTTTTGTTCAAAATTTGTTATAAACATAATGAGTTTTCACAATTCCAGGTACAAGGACTGAAAAGAGAGCTTGTCAGTGCACAAAAATCAAGGAAGGCAGCATCTGCTTCATTAAGGATGGCTTTACAGAAAGCTGCCCAGCTACGACTGATGGAAAAGGAGAAGAACAAAAGCCCATCATATGCCATGCGCATTTCTTTGCGAATTAACAAAGTGGTTTGGAGCATGCTTGTTGATGGTAAATCTTTTGCTGAAGCTGAGATAAATGACTTGGTGAGCATCTGTAGGTCTTGCTAACGTTTTTCTTTTCCTATTGAAAGATAAGAATGTTGTTCTGCACCAACTTGCAATGCATGGAAAAAATTGAGATTGCATTTCATAATGGCAACTCTTCCTAACCCAGACTTTATTGTGATAGATACCCTTATCTTAAAAAAGTACCCTATGCCAATAATGTTACCATTTGGAAAGATTCACCAATTCGAATTGCATATATCGTGTTTCCAAATAAACCCACATGTTCTTTTTGTTTTGAGCATTTTGTTGGTGAAAGCCCTTCATTGCAATATAGCCCTTCAGAGAAAGTACTCGCTTTCACCTCATGCTGGTACCATGAGGCTATAGCCTTGTTACCCTCAAGCAGAGCCTCAGGGTATACTCCCTGTACACTGCAGATGATTTTGGGCATTTTTAAATTATTATTTTTTTCTTTAAAAAAAAAAAGAAAAAGAGAAGAAAAGAAGATCACTTTGTTTCCTTGGTGTAATTGCGTAGAGGGTGACTTGAAATATCTTCGTATATGGATAAGATTGCAATTCTTTGGTTTAAATGGCTTAAAATCCTTTGATAATCAATGAATTGTTCTAATTAAAATTTTGTGTTCTTTAATTTAATGGTACACTTTTTGGATGCCAACTAAGAACTGAAAATTTATCACAAAACTATACTTCTCTACCTTGCGAATGGTTAGAAGATGTTGCTCTTTGCTGCATGTGGTGTTGTGTACCTTTTTCCCCTCATAAAATGTTAATCTGTAAAGTAAAGCTACATCACATGTTTGCTGTGAAAATTGAATCCTGCCTTTTGTCTGCTGTACTCATCTTCAATAACACTTGACAGTATTTTATGCTTCGATCTATTTTTGGTAGCATTTGACATGAATATGGTTTTTTCGTTTCTTTCCACTAAATGCTCCATGACATATGGTTGACGCAATTCTACATTTCCCATCATACAGATTTACGACTTTGATCGAGATTACAAGGATGTCGGAGTTGCTCAGTTTAAAACGAAGTATTTTGTTGTCAGAAACTGCCTGCCTTATGCTAAGTCAGACATGCTTTTATCAGCATGGAATCCTCCACCAGAATGGGGAAAGTACGCACTTTTTCCTCCCTGCTGTATCTATGGTCTCAAAAAGTTACTTTTTTAAGTGATCAACCATTCCACTTGTGGTCACCTTTGTTTGTGTTATTTTATATTTACTTTAGTTTCATGTGACCATAAAGTTTCTAGATTTTTGTTGTTGTTGTTCTTTTTCTTTCAAAGAAGTAGAAGCATGTCCTGCCTTCCAAAACTCATCTGCATGCTTCTTCTTTTCTCGGGCATTTTTTTTTTCAGCAAAAAAAGAATTCTTGTGCTTCCTGGGAAAAAATGTACATCATAAAGTTTGGCTGTATGTTTTGCCTGCAGGAAAGTTATGCTTCGTGTGGATGCAAAGCAGGGCGCCCCAAAAGATGGAAATTCTCCTCTCGAACTTTTTCAGGTAATAAGTTTATATATAAGTGTGTGTATATATAATTTCATGAAATGCTTTTTTTTTTTGGGAAATAGAGAAAAGGAAACGGTAGTGCTAGAAACAGGTCTTTCTAGTTTAGACATAGCATATGATGCAAGACCTATGAATTTGTACAAGGAGTAGCTTTATGGCATGCCCTTGTGCTGATTGGGGAAAAAAGACTAGTTCTCAAATTGGCTTTGTGTAAAGTGGGAACATATGGATGGAACATACAACATACGTAAATGACAGTTAATAGATTCGGACTTTGTGAACATTGTTACTTGCTTGACGAGTTGTTTTCACTATAGGTTGAGATTTACCCCCTCAAGATCCATTTAACAGAGACAATGTATCGGATGATGTGGGAGTATTTTTTCCCAGAAGAAGAACAAGATTCACAAAGGCGGCAGGTCAGTTGAATATTTTATTCACTCAAATTCTCCTCCGCTCTTTTATGCAAGTCAAGCTCAAATGAAAGTGATTTGTCTAGAAAACTAAATGCATTGCTCATTCACGCTGTGAAATGCAGGAAGTTTGGAAGGTTTCCACAACTGCTGGTTCAAAACGTGTGAAGAAAGTTTCTTCAACTCATGAAGCTGCTGCATCAAGCAGTCATACAACAAAAGAGAATGAGTTCCCATCAAGATCAAGTGTCTTTGCATCTTCCACTAATCAACCTTTGCTTCTTGCTGATTCTACTCAAGTGAGTTATTCAAAGTCTCTTGGGTTTCTTTCCGAGTTTTTTTTCCTATGTGTGCACTTTCTTTTTACTAAAAATAATTTATTCAAGCATCATCTTCTTTCATGTGGATGTTGAGGATCAACCAGACAATAAGAACAACAGATGCTGTTGTGACTTGTCATACCTTATCTAGATTTTACTATATTGCATCTATTATACAGTAGAACAGATGGCCATTTTCCCTTGATCTTCTTTGATGTCTCTGTTGAATTAGAGGATATTTACTTTAATAGTACTGGATTCTAGGAGATATGATAGGAATGTAATTAGGGATAGTCAATGACTAAGGATCTGGAAAGAATATTAGTGTACAGGTATTAGTTTCCTAGTTTAGCTCCTTGTATTTTTCTATTTAAACTAATGTATTGTAATACATTGAAAATATAATAATAAACTATTCTTCCTTCCATTACCTGTGTTCGCCTATTTGGTATTAGAGCCATTGCCGATACCCTTAGAAACCGTAGCCGCCATGTCTGAGGCTGCATCCGAATCCACCACTTCCTCTGTTATTTAGACAAAAAATCCTGAGTCTCAAGTCCAAAATTCTGAAACTCACTCTGTCCAATTCACCACTATTCGGCTGAATGGTGAAAACTTCCTCCGCTGGTCTCAATCCGTGCTGATGTATATCAGAGGCAGGGGCAAAATTGGTTACCTGACCGGGGAAAAGAAAGAACCAGAGACCAAGGATTCATCTTACTCGACCTGGGATGCATAAAACTCGATGGTAATGACTTGGCTGGTGAATTCCATGGAGGAGGACATCAGTTCCAATTATATGTGTTACCACACGGCGAAAGAACTATGAGACAATGTTAACTAGATGAACTCAGATCTGGGAAATTAGTCCCAAGTCTTTGAATTGACGTTGAAACTCGGAGAGATCCGTCAAGGGGATGACAGCGTTACAAAGTACTTCAACTCCTTGAAGCACCTGTGGCAGGATCTTGACCTATTCAGCGATTATGAATGGAAATCGTCTGAATATTGTAACTATTACAAGAAGACTGTCGAAGACCATCGTATCTTCAAGTTTCTCATCAAGCTCGATGTAGAATTCGATGAAGTTCGAGGGAGAATCATTGGAAGGTAGCCTCTGCCTTCAATCGGAGAAGTCTTCTCAGAGGGAAGAAAGTCGTCGGTTGGTCATGTTGGGAAAAAAATCATCATCAAATGGTGTTGTTGAGACCTCTGCCTTGGTTGCCGCCGAAGCAAATATTGGAAAAAAATTTGATGAGAAGCCTCGTGTCTGGTGTGACCACTGCAGAAAGCCTTATCATACCCGAGAAACCTGCTGAAAAATTCATGGTAAGCCTGCGAATTGGAAGAGCAAGCAGGAAGGCGGACCCGGCCGCGCAGCATGAAGCCGAGGCGTTCCCCCTTAGCAAAGAGCAAATGGATCACCTACTAAAGCTGCTAAAGTCCAATTCTTCTTCTGGTACTCCTTCCCTAGCTCAAACATGTAAACAACCCAAAAGCCTCGTCCTGTCGTTTAAATCCTGTTGTTACCCCATGGATCATTGATTCGGGGGCCTTTGACCATATGAACAGTTTTTCCTATCCATTCCAAACTTATTCACCCTGTTCCGGCTCTGAAAAAATCAGAATAGCCGATGGTTCATATTCCCCTATTGCAAGAAAAGGTTGGATCAAACTTTCAAAAATTATTGACCTTAAGTCTGTTCTTCATGTCCCTAAACTTGCTTGTAACCTTTTATTAGTTAGTAAGTTGTCCAAAGATTCTAACTACCGTGTTGTCTTTTTTGAATCTCACTGTGAATTTCAGGAACAGAACTCGGGGAAGACGATTGGCAGTGCTAAGATGATAGATGGTCTCTACTATTTTGAAGATGATATCTTCAGTAATAAAAAGGCTCAAGGCTTGAGTAGTATTAGTTCTATCTCTATGAGAGAACAAATAATGTTATGGCATTTTAGACTAGGGCATCCTAGTTTCCCTTATCTTAAGAAATTATTCCCTACTTTATTTAAAGGATTGGATTGTTCATCTCTTCATTGTGAAAGTTGTTTTCTATCAAAAAGCGATCGGGCTACTTATTCTCCCAAACCTTATCAACCATCAAAACCATTTTACTTAATTCACAGTGATGTTTGGGGACCTTCTAGGGTTACTAACGTAGAAAAAGAGAGAAATGGTTTTCTGTATTTCATTCCAATTAGTGGTTACATTCATATATAGGCTGATTTGATAACAAAAAAGGAAACTCTGCCTACTCTGCCTAATTACATATATTGATTGATATCTATTCTAGGGAAATATCCTATCTAAGGAACGAATCCTAATTCTCCTAAATATATACATTTCAATTGTCAACTATACACTATGACAGCTATTGCCAAATTTGACAACAGCTGTATCAATCCGACACTGCCCCTCAAAGCTGGAGAATAGATATCTTCCATTCCCAGCTTGGAAATCAAACCATGAAAAGCTATAATGTTTAGTCCTTTAGTCAAGACATCTGCCAGTTGACCCCCTGACGGCACGTAAGACATGCAGATCAGTCTTGTTTCCAACTTTTCTTTGATAAAGTGTCTGTCAATCTCGATGTGTTTTGTCATGTCATGTTGTACAGGACTATGAGCAATGTTTATTGCTGACTTGTTGTCACAGTACAACTTCATAGGACCTTCCCACTTAATTTTCATATCATCCAAGATGATCTTCAGCCACAATAGTTCACATACTCCTTGAGCCATAGCCCTGAACTCTGATTCGGCACTAGACCTCACCACTACATTCTGCTTTTTACTTCTCCAAGTTACTAGATTTTCACCAAGAACCGTGCAGTATCCAGATGTCAATCTTCTGTCTACCACTAAACCGGCATAGTCTGCATCTGTATATACTTCCAAAGTGAGTTCCTTGTTCTTCTTGAATAGAATTCCTTTTCCTGGACTACCTTTCAAGTAGTGTAACACACGGTGGGCAGCCTGTAGATGTCTTTCTCTCGGATCATGCATGAATTGGCTGATCACACTTACTGAATAAGCTATATCAGGCCGAGTATAAGCAAGATAGATAAGCTTACCCACCAAACGTTGATACATTTCTCTGTCGACAGCCGGCTCTTCCTTTGCTTCCCAGCTTCTGATTTGGTTCAATAGGCATAGACATTGGCTTACAACCAAGTTTTCTTATTTCCTTCAAGAGATCTGTGACATACTTTTGCTGTGAGATAAAGATTCCTTGTCTTGAGTATGAAACCTCAATTCCAAGGAAATACTTAAGGGCTTGTTCTTTTGAGTGAAAAACTCAAAAAAAAGTAACTCGAGTTACAACTTTATTCGAGTTCATGTTCTTTTAAGTTTAAACTCGAGTTTAAACTCGAGTTCAAACTCGAGTTTAGGACTAAAACTCGAGTTCAAGTTTTCCCTTCAACTCGAGTTTAGAAACTCGAACTCAAATTAATGAACAGTATTTTTTTTATTCTTAAAAATGCTATAACTTTTTTGTTTTAATTCTGATTGAGATGATTTTTTTTTCTATGCGTTGACAACGTAAAGACGAATAAAACCCGACCCATATATCATATTAAAATTTTTCATCAGCATTGAGTTTTTATTAAAATACTATCTAAATACAAATTCAAGTTTTGACTCACTCAGATACAAACTCAAAAAGATTCTTATCTCAAACCATAACTCAAATGTACATAACCAAACACAAACTCAAGTTATAAGTTCAACTCAAGTTATAACTCAAATTCAACTCAAGAATTATACTCAAGTTAAACTCCAAAAGAACAAGCCGTAAGTCTTCCAAGCTCCTTTATCTCGAATTCCTTGGTTAAACACTGCTTCAAACAGACTTTTCTTCCTCATCATCTCCTGTGACTATAATATCGTCAACATACACTAGGAGAGCTATCACTTTTCCAGAGGTTGAATGCTTGATGAAAAGTGTTTGTTCATTACATTAGCGAATCTCTCAAACCAAGCTCTAGGGGATTGCTTTAGTCCATATAACGCTTTCTTCAGTTTACACACCTTGTTATTTGTGCCTTCTCCTTCAAATCCGGGTGGAATATTCATGTAAATTTCTTCTTCTAGATCACCATGCAGAAAAGCATTCTTCACATCATATTGTTGAACTGGCCAATCGAAATGAGCTGCCAAGGATAACAAGATTCTCACGGTATTCATCTTCGCCACAGGGGCAAACGTCTCTTGATAATCAACTCCATAAGTCTGAGTGTAGCCTTTAGCAACCAGTCTTGCTTTATACCTCTCAAGACTACCATCAGCCTTGTATTTGAGAGTGAACACCCATTTGCAGCCAACTGGATTCTTTCCTTTCGGTCTATCAACGATCTCCCAAGTGTTGTGTTTTTCCAATGCATCCATTTTAATACACTTGAGGAAATCGCATAGAATCATAAATACGAACAGGAGTATGACCAGACACTGGAGTGGACACATGTTCTGGTTCTAGAATTGACTCAAACTCAGGTTTAGTGGGAGATGTAAGATTCTGTTTTTGAGTGGACGGAGACAATGGAGACAACGAAGTTGAGGGTAAATCAAAGGGCTCAAAAGAAGCAAGATCATCACTAACACCATAGTCTTTATCTTCCATAAGTGAGATCTCCCCCTGAAGATAAGACTCTGTGAAGTAGTTTTTATTTTCAACAAAGGTAACATCGGCAAATATGAAAGTTTTCTTAGTGGGGGGATGATAACACTTATATCCTTTCTGTGTAGATGAATAGCTAAGGAACACACACTTAATTGCCCGTGGGTCTAATTTCCCTCTATTTTGGCTGTGGATATGGACAAAAGAGATACAACCGAAGACTCTAGGTGCAAGGCCATTTGATGTTCTGACATGAGGATAAAACTTTGCAAGGTTTTCCATGGGAGTTGTGTAATCTAATGTTCGTGAAGGGAGTCTGTTGATCATGTATGTGGCAGTGAGAACGGCTTCCCCCCAATAGGATTTAGGAACATTCCCTTGGAATAACAATGCCCGAGTGGTATTTAACAAATGACTATTTTTCCTCTCAGTTACCCCATTTTGTTGTAGTGTGCTCACACACGATGACCCATGAATGATACCTTCCTTTTGAAAGTAGGGTGACAAAATTTGGTTGAAGTAATCCCTTGCATTGTCAGACTTAAAGCTTGTAATTTGGGGCTTGTAATTTTTACCCTAAACTGGTTTTGGATCATGGAATGGAAGTTAGGGACAACATTGCTCACTTCAGACTTTTGTTTGAGTAAGAATAGCCATGTGACCCTAGTACAATCATCAATTAGAGAAACAAACCATCGAGCCCCTGAAATGTTTGGAATTGTGGATGGTCCCCAAATGTCACTGTGAATTAATTCAAAAGGACGCAATGATCTTTTATTACTAATGGGAAAAGATACACGAGTATGCTTTGCCATTTCACAAACATCACAATGAAAATCGGTAACTTTCAATCCCTTAAACATGGAGGGAAACATGATATTCAAGACTCTAAAAGATGGATGACCAAGACGCAAATGATACAGCCATATGGCATCTTTATTTGAAGAACTAAGGAAAGATAAAGACAAATTATTCATGATCCTATTCGAAGTACTCAGTTGTTCAAGATAATAGAGCCCGTCCCTTTCCTTAGCAAGTCCAATCTTCCTCCCCGAGCCTTGGTCCTGAAAGCACAGTAAGAAGGATGAAAAATGGCACAACATTTTAGGTCTTTTGTGAGCCTTTGATTCGAGACAAGGTTTGCTGACAATTTTGGTACATGAAGAACATCTTTAAGTACAAGAGATGGACTTATATGGATATCTCCTAACCCTATGACCGTAACAAGTGAGCCATTGGCAACTGTAATTTTCCTATTACTGGGACATGAAGTGTAGGTGCTGAAATTTTGTGAGGTGTGAGTCATGTGATCTGTGGCCCTCGAATCAATTATCCAATAATCAGTCAAACACTTTCCTGAGACATATAGTCCAAAAGAGAATGAAGGTTTACCTGAGAGTGCCAATGAACATGTACCTAAGGGCTTCTCGAGGGATCCTATCAAGCTTCTGAGTTTGTCAATTTCTTCACTATTAAGACCTCCTTTCTCCTATACCTCGTTGTGATTGGTTTGTTCTGTCATGTGAGCCTGAGATTGAGTTCTCTGTTGGCCTCCACGATTTTCCCATTCTCGACTAGGTGGTTTACCATTCAACTTCCAGCAAGTCTCCTTGGTGTGTCTCGGTTTTTTACAATAGTTACACCACAAATTATCCTTGTTGTCCCGATTATCCTTTCCTGAAAATCTTGTCTGGTCTCTCCCACTTTCTGAAAATCTGCTTAACTCAGCCTTTGGTTGTGCTTTCCCATTTTTTGGTATTTTTGTGTGTTCAGTCCGAGTTGTCAAGGTTGCCAATGCTGATCCTTCTGCAATTTGTGGCTCTAGCATAATACCCCTCCTGCTTTCCTCTGACAAGATAAGGGAAATTACTTCCTCCAAAAAAGGCGTCTCCTCTTTTCCAAGAATCTGCACTCTTAACCTGATCAAATTCCTGATTGAGTCCAGCAAGGAAGTCATAGGTCCGGTCCTTCTCAATGAAATTCTTCAAAGTTGCAGCATCATCCGCACACTTCATTTCAATAACTCGATAATGATCAAGTTCTTGCCATAGGTTCTTTAGTGAATTGGCATACTCAGTCACGGTTTTTCCTCCTTGTTTGATTGCAGTTGCCCTAACTTTGATCTCATAAACCCGGGCTGCATCACGAGCTTTTGAGTAGGTGCGTTGAATGGAGTCCCAGATTTCTTTGGCAGTAGTCAAGAACATGCAGGTATCACTAATTTCAGGATTCATCAAATCCCATAACCATGACATGATCATGGAGTCTTCTTCATCCCAAGCATCAAATTTCGGATCTCCCCTTTTTGGTCCGGTTCCAAGAAGATGACTAAGCTTTCCCTTGCCTTTCAAGTAGGTTCGGACTAATTAAGACCACTTTAAATAGTTTTTTCCATTCAGCCTATATGTTGAACGAATATTCTGCAGATCACCATTTGAATGATGAGAGGTATTTTCTTCGGATTGAGTGGTGGTTTTAGTTTCTGCCATGATTCAGGGAAGGGACAGCAATGAAAGAACCACTGAAGTGAACAACTACCAGCGACAATGAAGGCCAAAGAAAAACAGCAAGAACGGCAATTAAGGCCGTAATGACAAAAAAAGGCTAATGGTGGCGATGAAGGCCAAATGCACGAAGGAACCCCAAGAAAGGAATGCCCTAGGGCTCTGATACCATAACGCAAAAAAAGAGAGAAATGGTTTTCTGTATTTCATTCCAATCAGTGGTTACATTCATATATAGGCTGATTTGATAAACAAAAAAGGAAACTCTGCCTACTCTGCCTAATTACATATATTGATTGATATCTATTCTAGGGAAATATCCTATCTAAGGAACGAATCCTAATTCTCCTAAATATATACATTTCAATTGTCAACTATACACTATGACAGCTATTGCCAAATCTGACAATAGTTGTATGAATCCGACAGTTACCACTGTTTTTGGGAAAAAATGGTTTGTGACTTTCATTGACGATCATACTCATTTGTGTTGGGTTTATTTAATGCATGAAAAATCCGAGGTTAAAAAGTTGTTTACAGATTTTTACATGATGATTGAAAACCAATTTCAAACAAAAATTGGCATCCTTCATACTGATAATGGCACTGAATACTTCAATGAGGTTTTAGGGAATTTTTTAAAGGAAAAAGGAATTTTTCATCAATCCACTTGTGTTGATACTCCACAACAAAACGGAATTGCTGAAAAGAAAAATAAACATTTACTTGAGGTTTCTCGTGCTATTATGTTTTCAATGAATGTTCTAAAATATTTGTGGGGAGAAGCTATTTTAACAGCATCCTATTTAATTAACAGAATGCCAACTCGTGTTCTTAACTACACTACACCTCTTGAAAGTTTTAAAAAATTATTCACTGAAACTCGGATTCATTCCAATCTTCCTTTAAAAGTATTTGGATGCATTGTTTTTGTTCATTTACCTAATAGACTTCGGTCTAAATTGGACCCTCGAGCTGAAAAATGTATTTTTGTTGGTTATGCCCCGAATAAGGTACAAATGTATTAATCCAAATACGAAATTTTTTTTTATCAATATGGATGTCTCATTTGTAGAAAATCTTTCTTATTTTCAGAAAAATTTCCTTCAGGGGGAGAAAGAGAGTAGTGAAGAAAATTTTTGGGAGATTTCTAACAAAATTTCCTGACCTAAAACTATTATTTCAAATCCAATTACCCACTGATTCTTTTAAACAAGGCAATGATGTTCAGGATTTGGGAAACCTAGAGTCCCCTAATACTAATATGCCGAGCCTTACTGTTTCTCCAACAGGGGGAGAAATCCTACCAATGGCTCCACAAAAACCGAACTCTGAGCTTCAGGTTTATTCTAGAAGAAAGAATCATAAAACTAGTAGAGAGCCAGCTGTTGTCTCCACGCAAGGCCAATCAGAAGTCTCGAACACTTATTCACTGATTATCCAAGGTACTCAGAATCCTAACTTACCTACAATTACTTCCACTATTTCTGATCACACTGAATCATCAAGCCAAGTTCCTTTAGATCTTGATAATCCCATAGCCATTAGAAAGGGAACCCGAACCTGTACTCAACATCCTATTGCCAAATACCTATCTTATAAAAAAGCTTTCCCATAGACATAGAGCCTTTACCTCAAAAATTTAACATATGTTTGTTCCAAGGAACATTCAGGAAGCATTGGATGACTCGAAATGGAAATCAGCAGTGTTAGAGGAGATGAATGCTCTTAAAAAGAGTGGAATTTGGGTGGTAGTTGATTTGCCCCGAGGAAAGAAGATTGTAGGGTGTAAATGGGTTTTCACTATTAAGTGTAAAGCTGATGGTAGTGTGGAAAGGTACAAGGCAAGACTTGTGGCGGAAGGATTTACGCAAATGCATGGTATTGATTATCAAGAAACGTTTGCCCCTATAGCAAAGATCAATTCTATCCGAGTCCTATTGTCTCTGGCTGTTAACTCTAATTGGCCATTATATCAGTTAGACATTAAAAATGCCTTCTTAAACGGAGACTTGGAGGAAGAGGTATTTATGAGCTTGCCACCTGGATTTGAAGGAAAACATGCTAAGAACAAAGTATGCAGACTAAAAAGGTCGTTATATGGCTTAAAACAGTTTCCCATGAGAGTCTACTGTGACAATAAGGTAGCCATCTCAATTGCTCACAATCCAGTTCTCCATGACAGAACCAAGCATGTAGAAGTTGACAAACAATTATCAAGGAGAAACTCGAATGTGGCATGATTTGTATTCCATATGTATCTACTACTGAACAAGTTGCAGACATCCTCACCAAAGGATTGTACAAAAGACACTTTGAAGATTTAAGAAGCAAGCTAGCTATGGAAAGATATCCACCAGCCAACTTGAGGGGGAGTGTTGAATTAGAGGATATTTAGTTTAATAGTACCAGATTCTAGGAGATATGATAGGAATGTAATTAGGGATAGTCAATGACTAAGGATCTAGAAAGAATATTAGTGTACAGCTATTAGTTTCCTATTTTAGCTCCTTGTATTTTTCTATTTAAACTAATGTATTGTAATACATCGAAAATATAACAATAAACTATTCTTCCTTCCATTACCTGTGTTCGTCTATTGTCTCGTAAACTACATTTTGTTATTGTCTCGTAAACTACATTTTGTTATTGTCTCGTAAACTACATTTTGTTTTTACCAAATAGTTGTGAAACCTGTATGCAGGCGTCGAAGTTGCAAAACCCAACAGCTAATATTGTTGGTGGTTCAGTCCCAGAATTACGAAGAACATCTTCTTTTGATAGATCATGGGAAGAGACTGTAGCAGAATATGTTGCTTATGAGCTTGTCTTACAGAGCATTTCTTCAAAAAGTGGTCCTCTTGATTCTGCTGAGCAACAAGATGAATCCTCGAGGAATAAATTGAAAGATCCCAAAACTCTTAAATCTGGTAGGTCCTCTCACGAAGAAAAAAAGGTAGCGAAGTCCCATGAAGAGAAAAGATCCAGGCCTCGGAAAATGATGGAGTTTCATAATATCAAGATAAGCCAGGTTGGTTACATTTCTTTATCCTAGCCTTTCTATTCGAGTATTCTTCTTTTTTTTCAGGAAAAAAAAATTGTATTATTCTTGCACAGGTTGAGCTGTTGGTTACTTACGAAGGATCAAGATTTGTTGTGAATGATCTCAAGTTGCTGATGGATACATTTCACCGTGTTGAGTTCACTGGGACTTGGCGTCGTTTATTCTCCCGTGTTAAGAAGCATATCATATGGGGTGTCTTGAAGTCCGTTACAGGAATGCAGGAAAGGATATGCATTTTCTGTTATTTCTAATATGCTCTCTTCAGTCAGAGCTGCGAAGTAAGTTAAATCATATCGTTCTTTCTATCGTTAACTTTTGCAGGGCAAGAAGTTCAAAGACAAAGCACATGGTCAGAGGGAACCAAGTGGGGCTGGTGTACCTGATAGTGATCTTAATTTCAGTGATGACGAAGGTCAGGCAGGAAAATCTGATCAGTATCCAATGACTTGGCTTAAGCGTCCAAGTGATGGGGCAGGTGATGGATTTGTCACTTCCATTAGAGGTCTTTTCAATACTCAACGCCGCAAGGCAAAGGCATTTGTCCTGAGGACGATGAGGGGTGAAGCAGAAAATGATTTCCAAGGCGATTGGAGTGAAAGTGATGCAGAGTTCTCTCCCTTCGCTAGGCAGCTCACAATAACCAAGGCCAAGAGGCTTATCAGGCGCCACACGAAAAAGTTCCGCTCAAGAGGACAAAAAGGTTTGTGATACCTAAACATATAATTAATCTCTTTATGGTAGCAGGATTTCAGCTCCGAACATTAGCACTTGTCCAATCCGAGTTGATTTTTTGAGTGATGCGCTTGGTCTGTTTCAGGTTCAACCTCCCAACAGAAAGAATCGCTGCCCTCATCACCAAGGGAGACCACTCCATTTGAAAGTGATTCTTCAAGTGGGTCCTCACCTTATGAGGATTTTCATGATTAAACATCTTGTGGTTGGAAATGGATTCTAAGAAGGACCTTGGGAGGAACGCCTACCCAGCACCCATGCATGGCTCCACTTGAGTAACAGAGCTGGGAAATCAAATTTATCGACACTGCAGGCTTTGAGGTTGAGGGTTAAGACTTTGCCCGATCATCTTCAAACAACACTAGGCCGGGATCCCATACATGGGACAGGGTTCTTACCTTTAACAATGATTTCCTTTGAAGTTCGAACATCTTGGTAGATCATAGAGGTAATGGCAATTGACCGCGAGCACAGAGTTGATCCGTTGCTGCTTTCCGAGTGTCTGAACTCAATTTTGATGGTGAAAAGGAAGCTAGTTCCTATACCTCGTCTGTTAAACTTTGTATAGTTTTGTTTAGAGGAAAATATATAGATAGCTAAAATTGGATGAACCACCAGCTTTTATATATTTGTACATACATTTAAATATATACTGAAATAGAGTAAATGCAAAATTGCATCTCTGCAAGACTCTGAATGTTGTAAAATACGAGGGTACTAGGACTTTTGTCGAGGAGGCCTTCTTGGTTGCAGCGCAGTAAACTAAACGTGTATTCTGCTGAAC